TCTAGCATTCATTCCACCCCTGATGATAAATCTAAGCAATCATGGTTAATCCCATTTTCTTTGCCAGTGAAGGGTTAGGAATGACCTGTAGCCTATTCTGGACAATGCAATGTGAAGGGAGTCTGGAGGAGGGTCAAGTGCTTCTTGGAAAGGATTACTTGTCCCTAAAAAGAGGTAAAAGAGAGAGATGGTGTCTCTTCTTCCTTTGATGACGTTACATCTGAATACAATGGCTGGAGCTGCTCAAGACATCTTAGGGGTAATGAGAGAAACTAGCTTTGGAGGAAGCTGATCTAGAAGACAGCAAAACAGAGTGGTAGAAGAAAACCTGTGCTCTTGATGACCTTACTGGACTGCTGATTGCATTGTACTCGGTCTGCCTTACCTCCGAACTTCCAGTTCTGTGAGATAATACAGTTCCTTATTGTGTAAGCCAGCATGATCTGGGATTTTGTCGCTTGCAGCCAAAATGCATTCTGAGAGATATATTCACTTTGTCCCAAGCAGATTAATGTCAGGCGGTTTTGATTTTATTTTGATAGATTTCCTTTTATTGGGTCTCTTCCTTCCCCTGTTTTCTGGCTTCAGAAAGTAGGTGCACATTCTAACAGGCCACTTTTTTTTTTTTACTTTATTATTTTTTGGGGGGGAGGTAATTTATTCTATTTTATTTTTAGAGGAGGTACTTGGGATGAACCCAAGACCTTGTGCATGCTAAGCACGTGCTCTACCACTTGAGCTATGCCCTGTCCCCCTAGCAGGTGAGTTCTTGTCTCAGTCTTCTCTAAGGAGCTCTGCCTTAGACTAGGGTTCTTCACAGAAAGCAGCAAGGAGCCAGCCAGCACCCACCATCTCTTTTGGAGCCTTTTAGATCGTTAGGATATCTGGTGGTGTGACTGCTTCAGCTTGTCATTCATTCTTTCTTTTCCTGATTCTTATTTTGATTTCTCTCTGGATCTTGGTCCCAGTTCTTGCATGTTTTGCATCTTAGACCTGGTCTCAAGATCGTTTAGTAGATTTATTTTCTTCTCTTCCTTCTCCCGTGAGCCTCTCATTTCCTTTATCTCTCTCATCTACTCCTATCTCACTTTGCGACTTTATGGCCAGTGGGGGCTACTCTAAGATGTATATAATCTTTGTCAGAAGTAGTAGTGAGTTAAGTAATCACACAACTCTTTGCTCTAGGCTGGTATGGCACAAAGGAAGGGTAGGTCAGTCCTCGGTCCAATAGAACAAGTAGCACCAGAAACATCTAGGGGTCAGGGCACTTGAATCTTCATTATGACATCACTATTTGCCACCTGAAATCTTGGGCAAGTCACTTAAAGACACTGAATTTCTTCTTTGGAATTTGTTTCTAATTGTTCAGCTTTTCCATAGTATAAATGTGAGTCAAATGATGTGAACATGGCAAATGAAGAAAAACTTTTTTCAGAAAAAGAATATGCAAGCTTGGTTGGATTTTCTGATGAACTACGTCTCTTTGATTAGAGTCCAAGTCTCTAGAATCAGCTCTGTGTATCTTGTTAATCTGTAAAAAGGCAACGCAATATAACATGGGATAGAATAATACAAGTAATCAGGGATTGAAGTTGATATTTTAGTGGTAGATTACAGCCTGAAATAAGAAAGGGCCATACAATACGAAGGGGAAATAAAGGTCGAGATGTCAATCTTGAGGCTTATTTCTAGTTCAACTAGAAATTCTGGTAAGCCAAGTTAGGGGAAGGAGAAACCAGTAGAAGAAATACCCCCCTCTAGTGGCGAGGATCCAGGTTCTACACCCAGTTGCTAGGTTAGGTGACTGAGGAGTAGACCACTTTTTAGGATGTTTTTTGTTTCTTAAGAAGTACCCTGAGGAGCCAGAGTTAAAATTCTTAAGATCATTAGTTCTAGATTTCCTGAGCAGGAAAATTAACACATTTCATAGAATAAGCAGTACTTTGGCAGCCTCATGTGGGACGGATTGTCTGAAGAATGTAGAGGCTCCAGTTGTCGGAAGAGGTTCACAGTTTACTTTTATGTAGGCCATTTAGAGACCAGAGAATTAGGACACTATTGTTACTAAGTTTCTTATTGATCTGAGATGATATAGTAAGTAAGTTTATAAACCCATTTATAGGGAGACAAAACCTGTATTCAAAGTTATGGCCTTAGTGCCATTGACTAGTAATCATCTATATTTATGCAAAATATGACTGGACTTCCTAAGTATAATTTTTTATTTGAAATTTTTAGTGATGATCACGAGAACAAAATGTTTAGTTTATATCTTGGAAGTGATTTAATTGCTACCAATGGAAAGATAGTGAAATTAAGTATATTAAAATAACTTATTACCCACAATTCAGTGGCTTGGTAGGGACACCTAATGCATTCTTGAAGGCCATCTCAAGGATGTATGTTATTGAGGATAGTAATTGCAAGAGATTATTACATTTGCAAATCTCAAAAGTTCATTTAAGTTTTTACTGTTTGAATTTCTGTTTGGGAAGAATTCTTTTAAGTTACTTAAAGATCTCCGAAGAGGCAAAATTTCAGAGAATAAAATTTTTATGGTACTCCATCTTAACTAAGGAAAATTTGAATACCATTCAAATCCAATACAGAAAAGAATGATTATGGCACAAGAAGATAAATTTTGGTATAAGACTGCATTATCAGAATGCCATTTCTTTATATTTAATGTCAAACTTCCTTGCTCTGAAGGAAAGAAATTTGAAGCTTGCAGAAGAAGTAGCCTCTCAGTAATTTGGAATATGTTTAATGATGTTTCTTTGAAATAAAACTGGAAAAATTCTTTAGAAAATGCAAACTTGTACATGGGTAAAGTGAGATTATAGCGTTATGAAATTAACTTTTGTGTATAACTTGTAGAACTGATATCCTTACTTTATGGTTATACTTCATAAATACATTTGATTTCAGGAAAGAAGAAGTAGGTCTGGCAGTAGATCAGGACCCACCTATTGGGGAAAACCAGAAAATAGGAGGAAGAGGTTATTAATGGTTCATTCTTAGCTGAGAGAAATTCAGTATGGAATAATTAAGGTCAGTTAGAGAAAGAATTATGGTTATGTTAAGTGAGTTCACAGATATTGTTGAAGGCAAATCCGTTAGAACTGATTTGTTAATATATATGGGGGCAATAAACCAATTAAATTGCCTCTTTACTGTATTAGTGTGACAGTAGTAGATATCTGGAGGGAAGTGAAATGGATGATAAGGTTAGTGGTAATTAGACCGTCTTCATTAAATCCTAGCACTAAAGAGGTACTATATACATTAGTGATAGCTTAATTCTATAAATAAGATATGATGATAAAAATTGATATAATGTTGGCATTGCTAAAGTTAGGCAAGTACTGATTTGTGTAAAGGGTTACAGCAACTGGTCATGAATAAAGAGCCCAGGCTCCAAACCTCATTTGAAATTCCAGATAAAATATAAGAATAACAGTTCACGTTTATATGGGATTTATAGTATTCTGAGTATTTACACATACATGATCTCATTTGATTCTTATCAGAACTCTGGGGGCAGTAGTTCAGGTCTGATTATCCCATTTTTACAAATAAGGCAGTGGAGGCTCAGAGAGTCTAACCAACTTACTAAAGAGCAATAGGGCCAAAATGACAGGAGCGGGACTTTAACCCATGATTACCTTACCAGAATGCCTTTGTTCACTGTATTGGTTTCCTATGGTTGCTGTAACAAATTACCACAAACTGGGTGGCATACACAGAAATTTATTTCCTCACAGTTCTGGAGGCCAGAAGTCTGAAATCAAGGTGTTGTCAGGGCTACCCTCCCTCCAGAGGATCTAGGGGAGAATTCATTCTTTGCCTCTTTCAGCTTTTGGTGGCTGTTGGCACTTCTAGGCTTGTAATCATCTCACTCCAGTCTCTGCCTCCATGGTCACATAGCCTCCTCCTTCTCTGTCCTGTCTCTTTTCTTCTTACGCCTATCTCAAATCTGTCTTTCCCTTTCTCTTATAAGGACTGATTCTTACAAGGGCTGACTTTAAGACTCCACTTGTCATTGGATTTACGGCCTACCTAGATAAGCCAGGATGATTCCTCATCTCAAGAGTGTTAATTACACCTGCAAAGGCCCTTTATTCAAATAAGGTTACATTCACAGTTTCCAGCCAGTTAGACATGTACATATCTTTTCAGGGACCACCAATTCAATCTACTAATTCATTATATGCCATTTGATTCTATATCTTCCTTTGGATTGAAGAAATAATCTTCTGTCTGAAGAGGGGCATGTGGGCTAGATAACTTTTAGCTAGTATGTAGAGAGGACCATTTAAAATATTTCTGCTTGGTGCTAAAAGCTTAGTAATGAGGATTCAACAAACACAAGAGTTCCACCAAATTGTTACGCAAGCTTTGCATGTGCAGAACTATAAAAAATGGGACTAAATTAAGTTAAAATAACATCCAGCTATTTATGATTTATTGACTTTTTTTGTTTCTTGTATAACTGGGCTATGTGTGTATGTGTGATGTATTTTGGTAATGGTTTGAGTCAATAGGATAGATTCTTTACATCACACAGGCATTCCAATTTGGGTCCATGTATATAAGGGAAGGGACTTGATATGTCTTATTCACAGTTAAATCCCCAGTGCAGTGTGGTTGGTGACACATAGGTGTGCTCAAACAATTTGCTGAATGAATGAAATAACTTTTTATGACATCCTAACCAGGCAGCCACAAGTCCCCATACTGTTTCACTTTTTGGAGGGTCCTGAATAACAGTAAGATCTGTTTGTGGTAGGAGAGTCCTCACTGACTTCAAGGGATTCCACTGTGAGTCTGTTTACTCTTGACAGAACTTACAACTTTTTCTTCTCTGATAATGTTCGCTGTAGGCCAAAAAACTATTGTCATTGCCTTGTTCACGTTAATAAAGATTAACCAATGAGATTACTTCTGTCTATCAGTTCACTTCTCCCTTGCATGGAGCTCGGGTACCATTAGGGATGTTCTGGTGGGCTCGTCCCGCCAGCTCTTCAGGTCATCAGTGCTGCACATTAAGCTCTGGGAAGGGAACAGGCTTTGTCCTCTCAAAAGTCTGCCGAGTTCTGACTCTCAGATACAGCGTTCATTGTTAACAGATAGAAATCGGGTGACTCAAACTATGTGCCATGTGCCATGTGCCATGTGTTATTTCAAATGCTGCTTCCAACCAACCTTAGAAGCTAAGTACTGTCATCATCCCTGTTTTACAGAGGCGCAAAGAAGTTCAGTACTTGTTCAAGTTCACACCAAGATTCGAACCCAGGTAGTCTTACTTCAGAGCCTCCATTCTTACCCGTGTCCAATGCCAGCCTCATGCTCATTCATTTGTAAGTAACCTGTTCTTTCTTTCTAAAAGCTTATATTTTTAATTTATTCTTAAACTTTGGAAATTTCACGAAGATATGTCTAAATGTGTGCCTTTTTTTCATTTATCCTGCCTGTCATTCAGTGAGTGCTTTTGGTCTAACAACTCTAGTCTCCTCCTGAGGGACGTTTTCTTGCACTATGTTTTGAGTATTGCGTTCTCCAGTGTGATTTTTGCTCTCCCTCTAGAACTTCTTTTATTTACAAGTAGGCCTCCTAGTCCTGCCCTCTGGTTCTCTCTCTCTCTCTTTTTTTTTTCATTCAGGAATTCCATTTCTTTTTATTTTTGCCCTGGATAGTGTGATAACTCATTCACTTGCTTTTCCAAATAACGAATTTTTCTTCAGAAAGAAATTTTTCTTTTACTTTTTACTTCCTAATTTCAAATTTGTAAGTTATAAATCATGTTTAAAGAATTTCCCTGTCTATTATTTTGTGCTGGTTATTTTTTTTGCATTCAGTATCATATAAATACACTATAACCAAGTAAACCCAGTTTTTTTTAGATATGTGAGGCTGTTTCAACATTAGGAAATATTAATGTACTGTATCACTTCAGTAGATCAAGGGAAAAAAAATCTTAGGGTAATTTCCACAGACATTGTAAAGGTATTTGATAAATCAGTATCCATTCTCGATTAAAAGAAAAAACCAGAACAGCTCTTGGTAACCCAGGAATTGAGGGATACTTCCTTAATAGCCATTGTCATACTTAACTTTGAAATATTTAAGCATTATTTCCCAAGTGTACTCCTCTGAATGGTGGATCTGGTGTTTTATATATTAGTTAGGTGTATTAGGGTAAAGCAAGGTGTTATAACAAACACCAACATCTTAGCAACTTAACACAATAGAAACTTATTTCTCCATCACGTAATAGTCCATTGTGGATGTTTCTGCTTGATAAGACAGTTTTTCTCTCTATGGTGATTCTGGGACTCGAATTCCTTGCATCATGTAGCTCTCCCTTTCCCTGCGGCCTTGAAATCTTCTGTTTCTAGCTGGTGAAAAAGCAAAGATATGGTGGAGAATGCATACTGTCTTCATAGTTGCTTTAGCTTGGATGTGACACACGTTTCTCCTTACATTCCCTTATTCCATTAGCCAGACAGGTGACCTCTCCTGTCTGTAAAGTGTGTGAGTGGTGGGGGAGGGGAATGGGAAATAGTATCTGGCTGGGCAGCTACAAGTAGGGAAATAGGTAGGCATCTGTAGTTGGCAGGAGAAGGTATGACCATCTGAATGGAGGACACTGTGGTAATGTCTGTGAAATTAAAAATATACATATCTTTTGACCTTAAAACTCCACTTCTAGCAGTTTTTCCTGCAGATGTATTTGCAAATATGTGCATATTTACATTTTAAGGATATACTTAGCAATACTGTAATAGCAAACGATTGGAAATATTCTGAATGTCCATCAAGGGGGTCTGGATGAATAAGGTATTGTACATCTGTCCAGTTGGACCAACACCCTGCAGCCACTAAGAGAAACAAGGCAATGATATGTGTACTGCCTGAGGGGAGAAAAGCAAGGTACAGAACTGTGTGGACTGCTACTGTTTATTTAAAAAGAAATGTATGCTCATATATTTGTAGAACATTTGTGAAATGATCACAAGAAACTGGTAACAGTGGTTGCTTCTGTTTAAAACTATAAATTAATGGAGGATGGGAGAGAGACATGCTTTTAGTGTGTACTCTTTTATATCTTGTGATACGCATCTTTTTAAATAAATATAAAAGTCAATTGTAAAAGTGTAATAAATAACATGGAAAGATGCTTGTAATATATTTTGCCTGAAAAAAGCTGCTTACGGAAAAGAATGTACAATATGGTCTTATTTTTATAATTGAATAAAATTTTAAAATGGCATATAAAATATAGTGCTTTATTTGTGGTTTTTGCTTATCTGTATTTTTTATTTTTTAATAATGAACATATATCACCTTTGTAACTTAAAAGATTATGAAAATAAAAAAAGAAACACAGTGAAAACTTTTCCTGGGAGTCTTAAGTTAATCCTGTCATGAAATCTTTCCCCATTTTCCTGTTAAGATTGATGAATGCCTTTTTTTGTTTCCATGCTACATTTTTCATATATTTATCACACTCCAAATTGCATTATCTTGTACACATCTGGCTCACCTATTCTGTGCACTCTTTAAAGATCTGAATCACACCAAATTCATCCAGGTATCCCTGTCAGTGCCAAGAACAGTGTCTTTCCCATAACAGGTGCACACTGAATATTGAGTTGATGCTTAAAGCAGAGAACACAGTGAGTACAGTGATTGTGAATTTTGTTCTTGCACAATGCAGCCTGTATTCAATACTGTACTAGATTCACTGACTCTTTAGTAAAGCCAGTGACTGACTGGGTGGAGGTCAAAGTACATGGGTCACAAGGTTTCCTTTCCAAAATGATACTGGTTGCCTTCAGGGATCACTGTCTCTGCATCATAAATTAGTGTAGGTCTGTTACAGAAACACATGTTGTAAAAATTGACATAAAGTTAAATAACTATAAGAAAGATCAAACTGTTGATGACATGGTCCCTGTTTTGACACAGGTGAGACACTCCTATCTGTGTGGTACTTTAATTTTAGACCAGTTTCCTCCTACTTTTCTCTTCAGACTATTTCCCTTTCCTCATTTCTGTTCTTTTGCTACAACCCCTCCTTGTACACATTGCTGTATTTTTGATGCGGTCATCAGGGTTTAGTTATGAATGAGTGAGAAGAAATGCAAATAGTAGAATTGGGAGCTGATAACTTCACTTGCAGCTATAAGATTTTTGTAAGTTGAAAATTGCTTGAGAATAGATTTGATGGCCTGGGTTCTCTGCATCTCCCAGTTTTATTGCCACGATGACCTTATCCTTCTTGTTTCTTTCCTATGTTCTAGTCAAAGAAGTTTCTTATAGGGTCTTTCCTTGAGGCCTTTCCTTTTCTTACTGGGAGATCTTCTGCTTGTATCCATTGATTTAAATATTACCTTCCCATAAAGAGTCAGTTCAGATGCTACCTCTTCAAAGAAGTCATTGCTGACCCTTCCAATCAGTTTCACTCTTTATTCATTCTTCCATTAAATTGTTATGCCTCCATTAGAGCACTAATTACAGTTCATTGGTGTATTCATTCTGTGCACATTCATTGATGTGTACAGTTCACATGTTGTTCTGGGAGCTAGGGTAGGAGACCACTATGGCAGTCCGTCCTTCCGTAGTGGAGGAGGCAGATAAGCAGAAGAGTTGAGTCCCATGTAATAAGTGCATTTGCAGGAGTGTGCAGGTGTGTGCAGGATTCTGTGGGAGCATAGAGAGGGTGCATCTAATCTAGCAGGGGATGGGGAATTCCAGAAAGATTTGAGTTGAACAGCATGTTGTATGTCATGGAGATATGAAATGTCTTCTGAAGAATGGTAAGGAGGCTGGAGTGAGGATGGGGAAAGTGGCAGGAGATGAGGCCAGAGAGGCAAGAAGGAGTGGAATCCTGATGGGCCTTTTGTGCCAAGCTAGGAATGTGGACTTTCTGAAAGCAGTGAAGAACCCGTGAAGGATTTTATGTGGGGAGCAATGCGAGTAAGCCTTGAATTCTGTAAGATTTTTGAGGGCAGGAGTCAAGTCTTATATATCAATATATCTGTTTAGCACCTCATACAGCACTTAATATGTAATAGAGGCTCAGTAGTTGAATGGGATTTGCTAGGTAGTGCTTCAGTTTTTTTTTTTGAAGACTTGATTTATCTGAAATAGTAATAGTGTTGAATACTTTTTGCACTCCATCAAATCTACAAGCATTATCTTACCTAATCTTTACAACTACTATCTGAGGTAGGTATAGTGGCTTAGAGAGTTTAAATGAGGGGATTCTAGTGTAGTAGTTACATCTGCTTAGGTTTGAATTTCAGCCCCTCAATTTGCTATCTGTGGACCTGAAAGTTACATATATGCCTCAGTTTCCTCATATGATAATGACAATAATGATACCCACCTCATATCTCATTGGGTATTGTGAGGATTAAGGATGTATGTAACTACATGTAAAGTACTTGGCCCAATAATTGCTAAGTGAGTGCATGCTCAATAAATGTAATTCTTAGCTATTAAGAAAAACACCCCAAAGTCACATGAGCAATTAGTGGTGAAGCCAGTGTGAACAAGGCAGTCATATTTCAGAATCTTTACTATGTTATAACTGCTTCTGTGTTTATAGAGAGATGATTAAAGATGGGCTCTAAGCAGTGAAACAAAACAAAGAATTTCAGTCAACGTGGGAAATGATATTTAGGGTACGGAAGTCTTCTTAGGGACTCTTCACATTACCCACACTTAAAAACTCTTCTTTGCTACACCGCCTGCATATAAGGGACCTATTTGAGAAATACATGTCTGTAATTTGGGCAAAATGACATTAATTCTAGGTTTTAATGCACTGGGTTAATGAAGAATATCTTGGAGATATTGGAGAATATCTTACAAAGGTCTCCCTTTAGGAGTTGGTCTACTAGTGCCAACACCTGGTATACCGTGTCATGCCTTGTTGCTCTGTTCCCCAGCTCCATACTCCTTAGATTTTTCCAACTTTAGGACCCAAGTGGGAGTCATGTTGGAGGATGTTGTGCAAACCACATGCGTAAAGAAAATAATTTACATTTTTCCTTTCTTAGCTTCTGGAACATCAGTGATTCCATCCTCCCACTTCTATTGGGCAGAAATTGAGGTATTCTCCTTATGCTCCCTCATCTTCTCCAAAACCTACCACACACACACACACACACACACACACACCACACACACACTCTCTCTCTCGTACCATACTGTCGAGGAGGGACTCCAAACCAACCACCACACACACACACACACACCACACACACACTCTCTCTCTGTACCATACATGTCAGAGGGATCCAGCCTAACTACTTTTTTTCTGGTTCAAGGACCCGAGAAAACACAAAGT